AATATGAACTGTGTATTATCTCAATAGGTTGGCAGCCAGCTTTTGTACAGAGGAAAAACGGTTATAACAACCAAGGGAGAAGAAGTTACAAAAAAACCCTCTTTAGTTCTTGTTCTCTCCCTCTAATAGGAACAAAAGAGTCACTTCATTGACAAGCCAATAATAGAAAGTAGTGATGCTCTTAACACAACAAAAAGTTTTGACAGATCCAATCCATTAAAATATTTAGATATCTAGAGTGAAGTTGGAATAGATTACCAAGTGTGCAGCTAAAGCATGCACAAAAATTCGTTTACACCAATGTGAGTTTTGTACAGAGAAATTTAAAAATGATGATTCACATATCTGATATCAATAATATATTCAATTCACAAACGAAATGATGGTTATCAATAATGATTTATATAAAAATTCATATCAATTTTACAAACATCAAGTCATTTGCTACTTTTCCTGATATCCTTTTAAAATAATCAAAAGATTGAAAATTTCACATGAATAAATAATGAAAAGATTCAAAAACTCTAAAGACCTATATACTTACTCAAGAATCACAGTCGGCCTCTATTATATGTGTTAGGGTTTTTGCCGCCAGCCAAGGAATAGGAGTAGACTACAATAGCTTATTTAGTTGTCGACGATTTTTCTGTAGTTGTTGAAACAAGAATAAAAAAATGGTGAACAGACAAAATATGTTATATATATATATTTATTTAGCAAGTATTTTATACAAATATAATAAATATTAATATTTTGTTCAATACTTTCACATGATAACCTATGACACATCTCACAACAAATGAAACATGTAGGGAAAAACGACCACTACCAAATATCAATATGTGCTTGAAAGATAAAAAGTTCATATTTAGTATCCCAGTCATATACACAACAAGGCAAATCTAAAGCTTCCTATACTATAATCTCATTGCACTATATATCCCTCTATGCGGTACCACCAGTAACCTAATTGCACATGACACACTACCAATAAAAAAAATAAAAAAGATGACATGTACTGAAGATGAAGATAATGACAATGCTACCTAAAAGAGAATTAAGAATTGAAAAAATAGAAAAATTTAAACCAAAAGTAGTATTTAACTATTTATTTAGACTATCGCTTTTAAACTAAGTATTTAGACTATCGCTTTTAAACTAAGTATTTAGACTAACGTTATTACAAAGTTACAAACATTAATTTTAGTGACAATTATAATCAATCTCTCATATATTATCTTGCATTTATATACTTTATGATGAAGTGCATGATACAGTGTGAACCAATGCCAAGGGCATTCTTGTATTTCCCTTCTATTATAACTGCTTCTGTTATAACTGCTAGGTCTTCAATAGTCCTGAGCATATAAGCTTTGTCTCTTTCCTTTTTCTGCTGTAAGAATAATATGGTGATCAATGTCAGTTGCTATCCTCTTACTTCCCATCTTAGCTTTGACTAGAGTTTACAGAGTTTCAGCTCTTCCAACATGGTACCAGAGCTGCTCCGCCACAGCTACGTCGCCGCCGTCATAGGGAACGCCGGAGCTCATGAAGGAGCCTCGACGGAAGCCGAGACAGTCTCTCCAATTAACCAGGGCGCTCAAAATCAGAATCCTAATGCAGTTCATCCAGCTAACGATTTTGATGATCCTTTCTATCTCCATGTTACGGAGAATCTGAATTTGGTGCTTGTTTCGCCTCTCCTCTTCGAAAAAAATTACGCCTCCTGGAGTAGATCCATGAAGATCGCCCTAGGAGTGAAAAACAAATTAGGTTTTATGAATGGAGCAATTGTTAATCCAGGTGTGAGAGATCCAAAGTACTCTGTCTGGAAAAGATGCAACGACATAGTATGCTCATGGATCTTGGAATCTCTCAACTCAACGATAACAGAGAGTGTGCTGTATTTTGAGATAGCAGAGGACATCTGGAAGACTCTCCAAGCAAGATACTCGCAAGCTGATCCACATAAGATTGCAGAAGTCTAGAACGAAATCTACAAGAATAAGCAAGGTACTCTGGCTATCAATGAATACTTTACAAAATGTAATGCTCTGTGGGAACAGTTAAATGCGATGAGGCCAATACCAATATGTGAATGCACTCCTAGATGTTCTTGTAATTTGATGAATACGATACAAAATGATAGGCATGATGATCAGATCATTAGGTTCTTGGAAGGCCTGAATGATGAATTTGAGACTATAAAGTCTGGAGTATTAGTCATGGATCCTATTCCAACACTGGAAAAGGTTCTAAATATGGCCTTGAAATTGGAAAGGAAGCTTAATGGTTCAGTTAGTCACAAGAATGAGATTCTGCAGTCCAATGCCATCCAGGATAATTCCAGTCAGAACATAGATGATCAGAACTTTGTGGCAGCTTTAAACTCACACAACAAGAAGTTTAATGCTAATGGAGGAAAGAATGTACCAAAGTGCACATACTGCAACATGCTTGGACACACAATAGAGAAATGCTATAAAAAGCATGGATATCCTCCTGGTTGGGTGGCTGGATACAAGTCCATAAATAAGCAAGGTCAAGACAATCAACAAGCAACAAGTGTGTCAGTGAACCAAGTTGGTGATATAGGGTTGTCTAATGATCAGTTCCAAAGGCTGATATCTCTATTACAGAATCAGAATCAAGGCAATCAAGCATCTACCAGTGCAGCTGACACAGTAAACAGACATGGTTTGAGACCAGAATTCATGAATGTGTCACAAGAAGCCAAAGAAGGCAGGTTTACCCTTAACCCCTCTATTAATTCCATCTTGAATTGTTCTGTTATGTGGATTTTAGACTCAGGGGCAACAGATCACATCACTTGCTCCCTAGAGTATTTTGAAAAATATTACAAAGCCTAAAACATATCTGTTAAGTTGCCAAATGGGGAAACAGTAAAAGCTACCCATATAGGAGAAATTAGACTCCATCCAAATCTACTGTTAGAGAATGTGTTATACATTCCCTCATTCACATCCAACATTGTATCCACCAGCAAGTTAACAAAGCAAGGCAGCTGTAAAATTGTTATGAGTGCTAAATTCTGTAATATTCAGGGTCTCTATGGGATAATGGATGGTTTTGCTGAAGAAAAAGGGGGGCTGTACCTGCTCAGAGACCCTCCCACAAGAAGGAAAGCTCCCTATGATGAGAAAGCTCACTCTGATGAAAGGTCTAGTAGCCAATGTAACAGTGTTTCTTTACAATTGTGGCACAGTAGGTTAGGGCACTACCCCATAGATAAGATACACTGTCTGAATGGTATTAAGCCTAAGCCTACTCAGTTGAATAGAACTCATGATTTTGCTTGTGATATATGTCATTTTGCCAAGCATAAAAGGTTTTCCTTTCCTATCAGTGTGACTAAAGCTGAGAATTGTTTTGATTTAATTCATATGGATGTATGGGGACCACTTGCTACTGCCTCCCCACAAGGGGAACACTATTTTTTAACCATTGTTGATGACCATAGCCGGTTCACTTGGTTGCACCTAATGAAACACAAGTCTGAAGTCAAAACACTGTTTCAGAACTTCTATTACTATACTGAGGCTCAGTTTTCAGTAAAAATAAAAGTAATAAGAACAGACAATGGGAGTGAGTTCCTCATGAGCAACTTTTTAAATGAAAAGGGGATTGTACATCAAAAATCTTGTGTAGATACCCCTCAACAGAATGGTATTGCAGAGAGAAAACATCAACATGTATTGAATGTGGCTAGGGCACTAAGATTTCAGGCTGGTTTACCAATAGAGTTCTGGGGTCAGTGTGTTCTACATGCATCATACCTTATCAATAGATTGCCCACCCCTACTAATAATGGAAGTTCTCCTTATGAGGTCCTGTTTGGAGAAATGGTGAACTATGATCAGTTAAGAACCTTTGGTTGTCTTTGTTTTGCTGCCACTGCCTCACAAGGAAGGAATAAGATGATGCCAAGGGCCAGGAAGTGTATATTCTTGGGGTTCCGTGCAAATGTAAAAGGATATATACTTTATGATATCACTGTCAAACATACTTTTATTTCAAGGGATGTTCACTTTTATGAAGAGATTTATCCTTTCAATGAAGCTAATGCAGGAATCAGACCTGATTTTGTGCCACCCCAGAATGAAGTATTCAATCCTTCCTTACCTCTGATTCCTATTTCCATTGAAGAAGAGTTTGTGCCACCAACAGTCACAGAAAGGGCTACTGCCAATGAGAATGATCAGACAATTCCTAATGCTACATCACCACATACATCAAATGATCAAACAACTATCAATGAGACTGATATGATCACTGGCAATAATGGTGAACCAGACATGGGAGAAATTCCACAAGAAGGAGATACTAGTTGTTTCCAACCTAGAAGATCTGAGAGAACCAGGCACATTCCCACCAGGTTACAGGACTACTACTGTCAGTTGATAATGAGAGACAGTACAGATGGCAGAATTTCTCCACACTCACTAAACAAGGTCATCTCCTTGGAATCTCTTAGTCCCAGCCATAAGATGTATGCATCATCCATTTCATCTACATGTGAACCACAATCATATCATGAAGCAGTTCAACATGAATCATGGAGAAGGGCAATGCAGAGTGAGATAGAAGCTCTAGTTGCTAATAACACATGGACATTGATAGATTTACCTACAGGAAAATGTCCAATTGGCTGTAAATGGGTATATAAGGTCAAACACAAAGCAGATGGTTCCATAGAAAGATACAAGGCAAGGCTGGTTGCAAAAGGGTATACTCAGCAACTAGGGGTTGACTATACTAAAACCTTCTCACCAGTTGCTAGAATGACAATAATTACGACCTTTTTGGCTGTGGCAGTTGCAAAGGGATGGGATATTCAGCAGCTAGACATTAACAATGCCTTCCTACATGGAGATTTAGAAGAGGAAGTTTACATGGTCTTGCCTCTTGGTTTCCAAAGTGACAGTCCCAAATAAGTTTGCAGGTTATTAAGGTCCTTATATGGTCTAAAACAAGCCAGCATGCAGTGGAATGCCAAGCTCACAAAAGCCCTTAAAGCCACTGGTTTCCAGCAATCCACAGCAGATCCCTCATTATTCACCAAAACTTCAGAAAACTCTTTCACTGCCATGCTCATATATGTTGATGATATACTTGTAATTGGAACAGATTCAGCACAAATCAGTGAACTCAAGTCATTCTTAGACAAATCATTCAAAATCAAGGACCTTGGCCACTTGAACTATTTCCTAGGTATTGAAGCATTCAGAATAGCTGATGGGATTAATATCTGTCAAAGAAAGTACACTATGGAGATACTGAAGGAGAATGGGTTCCTGGAAGCCAAACCTGCTAAAACACCAGCTATTTCAGGTCAGAAGCTCAATAGCCTGGAAGGTACCCTCATTGATAATCCTGAAGTGTATAAGAAGATGATTGGCAAACTCCTGTACCTAACAAACACAAGGCCAGAGATCTCTCATGCTGTTCAACAATTGAGCCAATTTGTTGACAAGCCTACAAACATTCATCTCACAGCTGCACACAGGGTCCTTAGGTACCTCAAAGGATCTCCAGGAAAAGGTCTATTCTATCCCACAAACACTCAGATCAGATTACAAGGGTTCTCAGACTTTGACTGGGCAAATTGCACAGAAACAAGGAAATCTGTAACTAGTTACTGCATCTACTTTGGAGATGCTTTGATCTCATGGAGGACCAAGAAGCAACCCACAGTGTCAAGGTCCTCCTCTGAGGCAGAATACAGGGCCCTAGCCTCCACTGTTTGCGAAATTCAATGGTTGCACTACTTACTAACAGATCTGAATGTGATCTTTGATAGGCCAACAAGTCTATTCTGTGACAATCAATCTGCAATTGCCATTGGAGAGAACCATTTCTTCCACGAGCGTACCAAACACATTGAGATAGATTGTCACGTTGTTAAGGAAAAGGTGCAGGAAGGGCTGATCAGACTGCTACCAATCCCTTCATCATAACAAATTGCAGATGGCTTCACAAAAGCTTTGCCAAAGCCAGCTTTTGACAGTTTCCACTCTAAGCTGGGCGTTCAAGATATTCATGCTCCAGCTTAAGGGGGGGGGGGGGTGATGAAGTGCATGATATAGTGTGAACCAATGCCAAGGGCATTCATGTATTTTCCTTCTATTATAACCGCTTATGTTATAACTGCTAGGTCTTCAATAGTCCTGAGCATATAAGCTTTGTCTCTTTCCTTTTTCTGCAGTAAGAATAATATGGTAATCAATGTCAGTTGCTATCCTCTTACTTCCCATCTTAGCTTTGACTAGAGTTTACAGAGTTTCAACACTTCCAACACTTTAAATTACTGATTTAAATAAACAAATTCAACATTGATTTACCTATGCATGAACATCTCCTATATAATATTGGCCAAAGAGAGTTATGTTGGTGATAATGAACCAAAATCGATTTAATATCCCAAAAATAATATTTATATATACACACACAAGTATATAAAATATTATTGGATATTTATCCGAGATATATATATACACAAAAGTATATATAAAATGGACCCAAAGGTTATATATATATGTATATCTACGAAAATGATATACCAATATATATCAACCAGAATTGGAGCTAATAATCCTCAGATTACAAGTCCAATCCAACGAATATATCAAAAGAGGCAGAACAGATATTTGCTTAGATTATATATCAACCAAAAATGGAACATATAATCCTTAGATTATAATTCCAGTTTAACAAGAAAGAACGGATTTTTGCTTAGAGCATAATCCAAAACAAGAAAGAAGGAGAAGGAAGAAAGAATAGTACGAGTTAGGCAAAGTGCCTGTCTTTCCTTAAAACCTTATTTGCCACCTCCAAAAAGTGCTAGGAGCGTTGTGGCCTAGGTTTCCCAGGATAAAACGTACAACGGTTCAACGTTTGAGCACCCAAACGAGCGAACCCGGCGAACTAGAGCACAGGCAAAACACAGTAGCAAGAAAGGAGTAGGAGCAGAGTTTTTGAGAAGAAAAAGTGCTTATCTTTGTGTGTTGTGTACTCTCGTGTTCTTCCCTCTCTTGTTGCAAATCACTTGCTCCTACTACCCCTTCTTATATAGGAATTGGAGTACTAAATAGCATTTAGTAGGCATTAATTACACGTTGTGTAACATCTGAAACAGCAACCCCATTAACAGAATTAAATTCAAAATTCAAAACTGGAGTTAATGGACTGTTGGCCTTCAGCATCATCAAGTTTCGGCCTCGCGCTGCTGCTCACGAGAGTACATCTCTCGTGTGCAACCCGAGAGTGCACCTCTCGTGGTCACCGTTGCATGAGAGTTGTGCTCTCAGTGCACCACAACTTCTCGTGCTCTCTGTAGCACGAAAGTGGTGCTCTCGGCCGGCCAAGTGACTATATTGGTTGGAAAATGATACCGAAGTTTGGCATAACTTATGCCCACAAGGTGGAGCCAATTTCTGATTTCCGGACGACATTCGTGCCCGCAGGTGCCGGCGCACACGAGCTCGGGCTTGAATCAAGCCTTTCTGATCTCGTTTCTAGTTGGAAACAACTGTGTTCAATGGTCGATCCCTGCATAGGATAGTAGGGATCACTATACCCTTTGAACCTTCCCTTGTGAAGACATGTTTACTTTACTGGTTGTACGGTAGAACGCGATGTCTTTGAACCGACTGCCGTTTGTGTAGACGATGACATATCTCACACAGGAACCTCCCAACCATGCTCTGTTCTCATGAGTGTGCCCATTTTGGTCGTGGGTCACCTTCCTAGTTCTGCAAGAATTTGTGAAGAATTGTGCCCATCAATTCTCCTTTGAAGCGACCCTCACTTCTCTCTCACATAGGTGATTCTTTCTCGAGTATCCCGCATACTCACATATGTCAACCGACATTCCACTACAAGAAAAATCACATAACGCGACGGAAACATTGCGACGGACCGTAATCCGTTGTCGATTTGCAACGATTTTTGTGACAAAACGTGTTCCGTCGCAATTTCGCGACAGAAATGGTGACGAAATTCAATTCCGTAGCAATTTTTGGCGCAAAGTGAGAAAAAACGTGAGAAACTTTGGCGCCCATATTGTGGTGACGGATTTTGCGATGGAATTAAGTTCTGTCACCACAATGGCGACAGAAATGATAACGATCGATATTTCCGTCGCGATGTTGCGACAAAATCGGCGACGAGAATGGATTCCGTTGCGATATTTAGTGCAATGTGGAAAATACTCCCACATAATCTTTCTGTCAATGAATTCACGACGGAGAGTGACGACGGAAATTGCGACATTTATTTTTTTCGTCATGAAAGTATTTACTTTTTAAAGTAAATTTTATTTTCGCTACAGAATGAGACAACGGATTCAATCCCGTCGCAAAATATCGACATATTGGCGACAGAAAATGCGACGCCCTACATGTCCATCGCGATATGGCGATGAAATTGGCAACGAAAATTAATTCTGTTGTGATGTTTGGCCCAAAGAGAGATTTAGCGTGTGAGATTGGCGACGGACTTGCGAAGATCATTCATTCCATCGCGAAAATATTTATTTTTTTAAGAAATGTTTATTTTCGCTACAGAATGGGACGACAGAATCAATTCCTCGCAATATGGACACATTGGCGACAAAAAATGTGACGCCTTACATGTCCGTCGCGCTATGGTGATGAAATTCGCAGCGAAAAATTAATTATGGAAGTTGGTGATGGAATTTGCGACGATCATTCTTTCCATCTCATAAATATTTAGCCCTAGGATTTTTGTCCCTATTACTAAGAACTAAAGCCCGACAAGTCCATATCGCCTCCAATGTAGCTCGAACTCATAACCTCTCACTTAAGAAAGTCACTTCATGCCACTTCACTACAAAGTCTTTGATTTACATTAAGAAGATTTAATTTATTTTAATATATAAGAAATTGTAGGACATCATTTCTTTACTACTACTTTTACGACAAGTTTAAAATACTCATTTTGATTATATCGAAAATAATCATTTTTATTTTATATTAATTATTTAATATTTTAAAATTGTACTAAAAATTTCCCTATTTTAACTTTTGTGTTGGATATTAATTTAATCGCAGTTTACACATTTTAACTAGTGTGTGCGTGTGTGTCTATATATATATATATATATATATATATATATATATATATATATATATATATATATATATATATATATATATATATATATATATATATATATATATATATATATATATATAGGGCCAAGTTTTAATGCGGCAAGCCTTATCATGCCGTCGGTACGGCTGCACCATTAGGTATGCAAACACGCACCAATAGTGTTAAAAAATGCACAACAAAAAAATACACCATTAGGTACGCAACACCACAAAACGCACCATTACGTATGCATAAATGCACCACACAGTATTCAGAAACACACAATTAGGTGTAGGGAGGTATGATGCTATTTTTGGGTGTCTGATGCATTTTGTGGTGTATTGGTGCATTTAATTGTTGTGCGATTTCTAGCACTATTGGTGCGTGTTTACATACCTAATGATGTGGCCGCACGTTAGGGCATGACCGCATTTGAGCTTACATCAATATATATATATATAAACAATTCACTTAACCGATTTGTTAAATATGTTAATTAATACTTTATAACCAAATCATTGATAACTAAATTTTTTAAAAATCTTTGACCATTAATCAAACTAAAATATTTTGTTTAAAAATTTATTAAATGGATTCTTCGATTCGAGCGTTTAACAATTTTCACTGAATTGTACACACTCCTAAAGTTAATAATTAAAATTTGTGTAAATCCTATATATAATAAAGCCATATGGTCTTGTGAAAATTAAATGGTAATAGTCAACATTTAATTTTTACAATATCATAATAATATTGTTAATTATAATAACAATAACAATAATAATTGCAATAATAATAATGATAATAATTTCCACTAACAGTTTCTAATATATATATATATATATATATATATATATATATATATATATATATGTATATATATATATATATATTTACTTATTTATTTATTTATTTATTATATTTATTTATATTTCAATTTCTACTGACAAATTATTGTGTGAACGATGGTCCTCATAATTGTATGGATCATGAATATCAAATACATTTTTAATGTATTAAAAATACATTATTTTTATATTGAAAGTACCTTACATACATATATAATGTACCCTTAGTATATTTAAAATATACTTTTTTATTGTATGCAACCCCAAAGTTCATAAGTTTGAAATTTAATATATGGCATAGCTAGGCGCGCGGCCTAATATTTAAGATTGTTGATGTGCATATTGAGGACTACGAAGACAAAGATGCGTTATTCGTGGATTCATCGGATACTATCCAACAACACTATCCAACTTAATTGACGTGAAGTAGGCTTAGTAACATTAAGATTATATTCTCGAATTATTAGTTCTCATCTTTTATTGATTACACACTTAATTCGATAGTATTTGGAAGAAAAAAATCAATGTTCGAACTAAGATTGTGATTTTGGTCTTTAAATGTCAATTGTATGTTGCTACATCTAGAGTTAGAAATCTCAAAGGTCTAAAAATTTTGATAAGTGGTGACTCTAAAATTGTAATTCAATTACTATTGTAGTTTATTAAGTTCTTAAAAATTTGTATTATTAAATATTATGTACGAAATTTTTAATATAGTTTAAGATTTGTAGTAATCACCCACCATAAATATTATTTTAATTGTAATTATATTTATGTTCATAATTTTATCATGGGAATTCACACATAATAATTATTAAATAACAAAAATTTTATATATGAATAAACCTCATCTAGAGTATATTTTTATTTTCGTGCATCGCACGGGACAAATACTAGTATTTAAATAAAAGAAGATTTTGATCATACACAAATGTGAAAAATAATTAAATAATTAATTTTCTCAAATATTTGGGAGGTATATTTATTTTAATCAT